CACTGCTGCTTGAAACCCTGGCAAAACAGTGGGGTTCTTCAGCCAGTAAGCTTTGTTTTGTGGACACAGGTGGATTTAAAATGGAAAAAAGTTGTTGATCATGGTTCCTTTTTGTTTGTTTTGTTTTGTCATTTGGCTGTTTCCAATAGGAGTAGTTTCTGAGAAAACTTGCATAAAAGAGAAAGCAGTAATGTAGTTCACTGGTTCCAGAAGGGTGGTTGATCTTGGCTTGGGGAATGGAAGAAGGTATTTCCTGCAGGGGAATTTGGTGGCCAAGTGAATGGGTGTCAGCAGAGCCGGAAGGTGGGAAAGGTCTGTAAAATGAAGAAGAATGAGATTGTGTCTGGTGTGATGATGCATAAGCAGCAGAGGTGGCTGAACCTGGGCAGAGTGAAGTAAGACAGAAAATGGTTGGCCTGGGCTGTGGATGGATGTTCTTGCTCTTTTGCTAAATGTGATTCAGGTAACCGTGCCTTAGTTTGCACAAGCTGATGGAATATTTCTTTCCTGATTAATCTCTTGCTAAAGCAGAGTGGGGTGAGTGAATTTGGAGAAGTACTGGCTCTGTGTTGGCATGTATTTGCAGAGGTGATTTTTATTCCACCCTGCTCCCTTACCTGACAGTATGGATGGCCAGCAGCACCTCCTGAGCCACCGGTGTCTCTGTTGTGAGGGAGATGGAGCTCTTGGAGTCCTGGGATCCGGGAGCTGGTGCCAGATACAGACAGGAGGGTGACCAGGTACAAGGAAATGAGAGGGTCGTTGGGTCTAAATGCCACCTGTGTATCGTGTAGGACAAGGACTCTCGATTGCTGAGTTTTCCCAGTAGAAAATACTTACCTCACTAAGAAGTCAAACCAAAATGCAGCTATGCTGCAAATGCATTCGTTGGGCTATTTATCAATATTAAATGTGTAAACCAGAAAGGTCAGCTGTGTTTAATGTCATGTGGCAGCTTTGTGATTTTAATTACAGTAAAAAACCCAATGACAAATGAATTCAGTGCTCTTTAGAGCTTGTTCCTCCCTGATGCAGTTTGTTTTGTTGGCTTACCTGTGCTCAGGGAAAGTTTGGCTGCCTCTACTGTGGTTGGAGGGATTTTATTTAAATAAAGAAAATGGGATAAAGTAATACATTATTTACAATGTCTCCTTCACTGGGGGAATTCAGTGTAGCTTAATGTTTCAGCAACACCCTGTTACAGTGTTGGAATAGCAAGGCAGAATCACAGTAACTGGCAGAAAAAGGTTGTTGCATCTGACCTTAGAGAGACTGACAATTGCTGCTTCACTGTTTCTTCCTATTTTGTATGCAGTTTCAGGTATCTGGGGTAAAGAGGGATAAATAGTTTCTCCTCTTCCAGCTTCTTGTTGTTTAAAATCGTGATGGGGACTGCACTGCTGTTTTTTGCTGTTGTTTGCTTGGCTCCTTTATGTTAAGCTTCTAAAACTCTTTATTGATCTTTTCCCAAGCTGTTTTCAAAATGTAGTTAGCAGGATCCTCATCCTTATATAACATTTCTTCAGTTTTTAGGGGTAGTTATCAGTTTGGATGTTTTAAATTTACTGTTAAAGAGCTGACTGCTGTAGAAACCTGACTTCTGAATGAGAGCCCTGCAGATGTTGTGCTTGAGCTACTTTTCAATTGCAGCTGAGGTTTTGAGCAGTGGCGGTGAGTGTGCTCGGGCTGTTGTTTTCCTCTCTGAGCATGTCCGTACCTGCATGGCCGTGGTTTCAGCATTGTAGGTGCAGGCAAGGTCCTGCTTGCCCTGTCCACCTGACAGCGGGGATGTGAGCTCCTCTGGTTTGCGTCCTTATTTCACTGGGTGACATGGGCTGCGACTGACTGTCAACGGCAGCAACGCAACATCGCACTGAGTGCACCAGTTCCTTGCTGTTGTGCTGTTGTAAATGCAGTGTTACAAGTAACCCTGAAAGACCTTGTTACAAGTAACCCTGAAAGACCTGTGGTGTTCACCCTGTACCCATCAAAAAGCTGGCAATGGCATACAGGGATGGAGCTTTGATTTCAGTCTGGTGATACTCTCTAGGTTCTCAGTTGATGATAAGACCAGCTCTGTTAAAGAGGTCCAGTTACATTTGTTTCTGTACCTATTGAAAAGATTTTTTTTTTCTGAATGTAGAGGTTCCTGTACATTTTTCTACTTCACTGACAGCACTGTCCTTGTTTAACTCCAAATAAATCTTAGTAACATGTGCAACCCAGAGACGAGGGGAGAAAATTAATCTCTAGATCAAGAGCTACAGAAAATGAAATGAATTATGAACAGGAGAGAGAGGGGTTTTTTCTGTATCTGTTGTCCAAGCAAAGGGAAACTGGCACAGAAAATAAGACTTAGTGAGTGGTGGTAGTGGGGTGCTGGGGTTTTTTTCCTAAATTTAAATTAAAGGAAAAATTAAAACTTTTCCAAATGTCCCCAGTAAGACTAAGCAAAGCATAGGCAGGTAAGAGAAGTAACATCCCCACAGGATTCATTCAGCATTGCTGAGATTCTTTCCTTTGCATTCAGCCTCAGTGGGAAAGAGGGGGGGGGGGGGGGGGGGGTGAGATTCAACTCCAGAAATGGAGATTTTGGGTATTTTTTTGGAGAGGAGCTTCTGTTAAGTTGGGGAAGGAGGAGGAGATGGTGCCAGTTTTTGCTGGATGTTGCATGCATCTCTGCTCCACACTGAGCAAAGCATGTTCCCTTGCCCCCTGCACGGCTGTCGGTCCCACACCTCCCTCCCTGGGCTTGGGAGCCAAGGCAGAGGACTGGGGTGAACCCCAAAATGCTGTGAGGGGCTGAGACTGAGTATGAGTGAAAACTTTCCCCAGTGGTCTGTGCTTTCCAGGGAGGTGGCAGTGGTTCGTAGAGGATGCTTATGGGAGCAGAGGGACTTCCCGGGTATGCAGTATTTTTTGTTGTTATAGTGCAGCCAGGGGGAGGGGGGGGGGGGGGGGGTTGGGGTTTGTTTTTTTCCTTGCAACCGATATGGATAAAAGTCACAGCATAAATTTCCTGACTTGGTGAAAAGCCTGTGACCCCTCTCGGTTGTCTTGTTCATCAGAAGGCAGATAGGTAATAAAGAGTCTCCTGTGTGAGAGGAGTAGGGAGAACCTGCTGTTTTAATTTTGTTCACAGCAGTGGGCCAAACTTTGTTCTTTCAGTGCTGGCCTTGATAATTGGCTCGATATAATATAGGAATTCAAGCCATTGCATATCTCTGGTTTTATAACTGCTAATGTCATAGCCAAGAAGAGTGCAAAGTCTCCTGCAGGAACATACAGTAAATAAGAACAATAAGCATGTTCCAGAGAACATACGGGCAGTGGTTTTAAAGGGCCTCAGCTCAGCCCTGGTGGGTTAATTTGCATCCGAGTTGCTTGGACAAATGGATTTTGCTGGTTTAGACTCCACGGGGGATGTGGGTTTGATTTGGGAGATTTTCTGGACTAAATATTATGTTCGTGTCTCTGATTCCTGGCAACCAGATTTTAGGGATCCTCTCTTTTCAGGAGGGAAGGATTTGCTTTGGGAGTTTCCTCCACTTCAGGAGTTTGGCTATAGTGTGCCTTGCCTTTAGGGTATCCCGTATCCTGCTGTGCAGGGTGCCTTGCACAGACATACGGTAAAGTTTTGTTTTTCCTCTGGCCACCGCAGCTCTCGGCCACGGCTAGCTAAGACTCATTTACCTTGTTTTTTTGCAGATGTCCGCGGTTTATTCGTCATCTTCGATGAGGTTCTAACACCTGTTAAGCTCTCCTCCTCCCCTTTTTTGGAGAAGCATTTAATTATGACAGGGTTTCCCTTGGAGCACATCCTCCATTCAGTTCCCTAATTGTAGAATTCTCTGTGGGATTCTCCAGATGGGGGATAGAGGATAATCTTCTCAGAGCTCCGGAAGAAATGTGATGCCAAATTACAGAAAATAGATCCTTTTTATTAAGCTCTTGGGCTCCTTTTATTCTTATTTTAAGGTGACCTTCTATTAAAGAGAAATGTTGGATAAATGGCTATCCTTTTTAAATAATCCTCAACAGCCTTACCTGGGTTACTAGTAACATCGTTAGATTAGAAATCCTGAAAGGATTTAAGCTCTTTTTGCCACTTGTGCTGTCATCACGGAGACAAGGAGAATGAACTTGCCTGTTTCCCTTTTGTTTCTAGTTGGTCTCATTTTCAAGCTGCGAGCTCTAAATGAGGGAGTGCTGGCAGCGTGCTTGGTGTGGCGGGCAGGTATAAAGACAAAGCCCTCTCCTTTGTCGAGTGGTCACAGTGCCACTTCATGGGTCACTTGCTTCGCTGCAAGCTAGTGCTGTGGCAGTGCTGTTTCAATCCCCGAGGGGTTTCCAGGCATCCTAAAAGTGCTGCTCAGCGCCGCTGATGTTTGCAAACATGGCAGTACTGGCCATCCCATTTCGTGCCCAAATGCTGGCCATATCTGGAGTTCTACTAAGTTTGCTAAATCTAGCATGTGACTGCTGAAGGGCTCCAGGGGTTGTCCTTACAGAGCCCATTCTGCTGGAAGGTTCCCATGTATTCAATGTGCATAAATTAATACTCCACGAGCTCCTGTGTTAGCAGATGATAGCAATATTTTTACAGGGTGGATGGAGAAACTAAAGCACAAAGAAACGTAACTGCAGCCCTGTACTGAGTTGGTGACAGAGCCAGAAGTAGCCTCGAAATGGCTGACTCTGGTCCCCTGTTTTAATCATTGCCTCTCTTTGGGATTTTGTGTGCGTTTAAGTCTCTAGGGAACATTTTCTGTAGCACCAGTAAGAGTACCAGCTTTGCACGTAGGAGGTAAATACAGACTTAGGAAGGGAGGGATCTCTTGTCAGCAGGGAGGCTGAGGTTATGGCTATAGATTTTAATGGATGTAGTTGGTTGGCTTTACGCTGAGATATGCCGCTGGGGATGTGTACAGCTTGCAGCGATTGAACTTTGGTGCTGAGAGGTCAAAGGTGGCTAATCCAAATTTTTGTTTATCTTCCAGGTCTACGCACAACGAACTGGAAAAGAACCGGTAAGTAGCTAATGAGCTGAATTCTAAGAAATGCAAGCCTAGTGAGTGTAATGTGCTTTAACCTTACACATGCAGGTGCCGTTTGATCAGCTTAGACAGCTGTGAATGACCACACTGCATCACGTAGTTTTAAAAGTTGGAGGGGGGAGACACAAAAAGATCTGAAAAAGAAGCCTTGGTTTTGGCTGTTTTTTCCCCCCTCTCTGAAAAGGCAAGAAGTGACCCAGTTTTTTGACTAATCTGTATGCAGAGTAAATACTGTTCTTCTCCTGACACAGTGAAATCTGATTGGGGCACTTTCCATACATGAGGTTGCTACGGGATCAGGTTTCTTGGGCCCTGGGTAATACGTGTTACCATGAAAAGAAGAGCAGAGCCCTGTGCTCTACACCCTCTCCCTCCCACCCCTCCGCTGGGCTGTGATAATCTCTGCGGCGCAGAAGCAAATACCATTGTCCAGAGGCTCAGCGGTCTGGCTACCAGTGCTCCTGTGGAGACTCTCTCTTCTAACCTGTTTTAGGATTGTACCTGTTTATCCTTGAATCTGAAGTTTTAGCAAGCCTTGCCATTTTGTTACTTGGCTAGCTCTGCTATATGACTCAACCCTTTTGTAACAGGAGTTAAAGTAAGATAAATACCATTGAGACAAGGGGAGCTAGTTCACACACAGATCAGATTATCACCTTCCATTCAGGATGCTATAGTTAAGGTTGTGTCAGGGTTTCCATTATAAACTTATCTTGGCTCTTCTGTGGGATTTTAGGAGGGCTGAGGGGGGGGCATCTGTGTTTTTTGTGGCTGCTGGAACAAAGGCAGTGCTCTGGCCAGCTGCTCCTATGAAGAAACCTCCAGGGTGGGAAAGCTGAGTCTAAATAGTTTGATTGCCTCCTCTTCCTTCTTAGCAGCCATCATTTAACAGGGGATTGGAGCGCTGTAAGGATGGCCAAAGATACATGGAGGCTTCAAGCCAAGTGTGTATTTCCATTCAGACAAGATCTTCCCATGTAGCTTCAAGGGAATTGGAGCTGAGCACCTTGTGCATCACGTTGCCCTCTGTTTCCCCCACATCTGCCTTCCCCGGCAGCAGCAGTGCTGGGAAACAGCTTGGCCTTTGCATGGTGTGCATGTTTTCTTCCAGGCTGTGCTTCTACCTCCCGGTAGCTTTGAGGATCTAGAGAGTTGTCCTGGCCCTGCCTTTCTGGAGTGATGCAGAGAGGTTTTTTATTTGGGTTATGTTGCTTTCTTGACCCCTCCAAGTTTTAACCTTTCCAGTCCCAGGTTCAGCTGTGTTGAGAAGTGTTTGCTCCTGGGTTTTCCAGTGCTCTTTACAGTTTTACTTACCAATGAGGGAAAGAAAATGCAGTGCTTGGGTCTGACCCAGAACGGAGGGTGCTTTTTTCTCCATGACAACAGTAGACCGTCACTAATTTTCAATGTGCTTATTTGCATATCTAATTGTTTCTGCAAATGCTGCTCGCCCTCAGTACAGCTTTAGAGCAGAGCTGTCTCCATCTTTCCCTGTACCAACCTGGTCTTTTCACGTTGGCCAAGTTTGCGTGGATGTGTGACCATCTTTTTCTACCCTCAAGCTTGTGGGGCAGGCAGTGGAGCTTCAAAACCTCTGTGGGTGAGATCTCCGCAGCTAGCAGTACATACTTATTGTCCAGCTAAGGACTGGCAAGTATTGATGGGTTTAGGATATGCCTGATACCAACTATTTGTGTGAGTTGAGGAAGTTTCTGCCTTGATTCCCTGTCTTTAACTGAGGCCAGTAGTACTGGCCAGGGTGTGAGGATATCCTGAGGATTGACTACTGTCCAGCACTTTGTTGTATATGTTACTAGTGAGAGAAGTATTATTACCTGTGCTTCCCCTTATGCCACCTTTTCCAGAATGTTGACGAGCTGTTTGCTTGCTACAGAATTTGTCTTCCCATTCCCAGTTGGTGTAATACCATCTCTCTCTCTTCCTCGCCTCCTGTCTCAGTTATGCTCCCTACTACCCACCTGTTCCAGGTTGAAGACTCCTAACCGTCAGCCCTTCTCAGCAAGGTCTTTCCTTCGGGGCTTTCCATTCCTGAGGCACTGTATTCCAGATCTGTGTCCCAGGTGTGATTTTACAAGCCCTTGGTTTTCATCTTTCTGGGAAGAACACACGTTTGATCACATTGGGTGGTCTGTACAGGCAAACTCCTATATCTGGGATCTTTGGTCAGGAGCCTGCTGCTTCTGGTTTGGGATTGTCCGTCCCTTAATGCAGATGCTATGGCCTGATCAGCTACGCACATCTGCAAACCCAGCTAGACCCTGTAGTGGCCCCGCTGGGTTTGCAGTGTTTGTTACCAATGATGGGGACAGTGAGTTTCATACTGGAAGCATTTATTTTCAAACTGCACAGCAGTGTTTTCTGAGTGAAGGGGATTGCTTCCTGGTTAGATTTTCACCATGTTTTATTTGCTATGTCGTTAAGTTTGTCAGTGTCTCCAGACTTAACTGTTGCAAAGATAAAAGCCCTGATACTAATGGCTTTGTGGCTGGCAGGTGCTCATTTTCCCTATTATTTGAGATTATTCCTTTGAATCTCACTGTTATCTGCATTATTGACACACACTATAATTTTCAAAATTGTCCACTATTAGGTCTCTGACTCTGGTTTTTTTCTTCTTGTCTGCGAACAGCAGCCTTCTTATGTTCAGTTAAATTTTGTTTTAACCCATTCAGAAATTACACAGAGTTTCTTTCAAGCAGTAGCAAGAGAGTAGTAGAAAAACAAAATGCTCTCCTTCTCCTTTTTAAATACACGATTTAGCTTGGACTCAATATTGCAGAGCTGGTGATGTTTCAGTGTATCAGGATTAAGAATCTTGTACCCCTTTGATGTTGAAAAGTAACTAAAAATATAATAAAAAAATTAAAGTGATGTTTTAAGCTCCACTCCTTTTCTTAGTCTTGAAATATTTCATGAACACTCCAGTGGTTCTGCTAAGGAGCTGTTTGATTTGGTACTGAATATTAACTGTAATATTTAAGTGACTTCTCTTTCTGCTTTGATTTGGTTTTTTCATCTGAAAAGATTGCAGTGACATTTATGTAAGGGGCTTTGTTTGATTTATAAAAGATTAAAGTTAATTTATAGTTATTATCTGTCATTAATCCTCGTGTTGGAAAATTGTTTGTGTTTTTTGATTTAATGGGTATGTGTTTCAGTTTATCTCTGCCCAGGATGAGTCATAGCTTGCATTTAAACAAGAAACCAGTATTCTGCTTCTCATCTGCTGCAAGGCGTAACTAAAACAATACTTTTTAATCCTTTAACAAGCCTCCCAAAAAACAGATTCGTAAGCAACACCCCATCATTTTCTAAAAGAAAATGCAGTGTAGCAGATTTAACTGTTGACTGTGACCCTTTTAGACACATACCAGTTTTGGAAGGATGTGGTCAGTGTGGTATGAAGAGAAGGTGCGTGACACTGAGATGACTTTCCTGCTGCTCTGTGAAGTGGCAGTTCTGGTAGACCAACATGGTGGTGGTGTCTGTCAGAAAAGAACAAAATAGATGTTTGTAAAGCTATTGATCAGATTTTAAAAAAAAAAAAGTCGTCTTTATATCCTAGGTTGATCTATTTGTTTTTGGTGATGATTGCATTGTAATACACCAGAAGGAAGGAAAACAAACTGAAGAAGACAGACGCATAGCAATGATCAAGTACTCTCTTTTTTAGCCTTTCTGACTCTTACCAGGATCCCCCATCTATCTTCTGTGATTCCCCACCCATTCTCTCTTTAACGTGAGAGACTGTTTATTGCAGAGTGTTTCTCCAAAACGGTTTCTCACGCAGAGCTGACTGTTATGCTAGGTTGCATGTTTGAGGTAGCAGATGAGATAAAGGAGAAAACCATGACCTGGGTCAGCTTGCAGTGAAACGTGGGGCCTTCTGAGGCTCCACAGAAATCGCAGAGTTTGGTTCTGTTTCTCTAGGACAGGGGCTTGAGTGTGTCTGTTAGCAAAATGCAAGAGAAGAAGGAGGGGAAGCATTTAACATAGGGCATTTAAATAGTTCTGGTACTAAATAGTGCAGACATGCTGTCTAGGCTGGGAAAGATAGAGGGAAGGGGAATGAAAGTATAGTGAATCCTTGCTACTCTGAATAGACATGGATGATTGTGCTTTTGTAGTGCTATACATACTTGCCAAGGCAATCTGATCAGTGTTTGTCTTGAACCAACTAATCAATGTGGTGTTGAGTTCAATGCTGTTTATCAGGACAGCTGGAACAAGAAACTAATCCAGTAAATTTCATTTGTTCTCTGGAGTGGGCTTTGTTTTCATGTTAACTTCATGTAGCAAACGTTGACAGTACATACTGTTTTCCTCATTAATAAAACTTGGAACCTGTGATGTTCCCTGCAGCAGTCAAACCATGGCCAACACAGCTGAGCATGCAGCTTTCTTTGACACATCCAAAGGTCAGAGCATGCAGTGATCCAACTTGCTCCTTGTGGGAACTGCAGCTAAACCCTCCTGTCTCCGTGGCCAGTGTGGAATAAGAGCTGGAGGTAGCTAGCTGTCTTCGACTGTCGCTTGGAAGACAGATGCCTGCATTTTCAGCTGGGACTAACAATTGTCAGCAGAGCTGAAACATGTTCCTCTAGGAGATCTGGATAGCTATTACACTGCTGTGCCTGATTTTGCTTAATTTGGAGAGAGTGAAGTCGCTAGTTTGTGAAGTAAGGCTATCGGAGAGATGTTCTTTCTGGATACATTCAGGCTCAGCTGTTGTTGCTTAGTGTCAGTCTGCCTTTGCTATGTTGTGGTTATTCTTTTGCATTGCTCCGGGAACTCACCAGTCAGATGCTGTAAAGCTATGATCTGGTCTCTTTTGCTGACCATCACGCTTGTTCGTGCGAGGTGCCTCCTTGTGCAGAAACAGCGTTTCGATTCACCCACAGTTGAAAGTCTGCGAAGGCTTTGGTTCGTGTTGGCTGGGCAGCAGAACATTT